AATGAATGTAGTCTAGTGAGGGTGGCCCCGTACTTGGTGGCGAAAATGTTCATGCTTAATTGAAATAAGTTTAGAGAATGCAATGGTAGGGTCCCCTCAACTTTAGTGCTCCATTGTTGTTCTTAATGGCACTTCACTCGATCAAAAACAAACAAACAAGCAAACAAAGAATTGCTACAATTATTCTCTGCAACACTCTAGCGAGAAGGAAGGTAAAAGTGAACTGAAAGGACCATCTGTAACGTGTCCGAGTGCCCACATAGCACCCCGTCCCTCTCACATGCCGTGAGTGACTGAGGGAAACGGGTCCAAGGCGGGTCGCCCCACACACCGACACACCGACGTGGTTCCACGCCGCAGGAGAAGCGATACTTCACGGAAATGCGGCAAACCTGCATTCCTAACTGGGACCTTGATCGTACGTCTGACGAAGGCTGGCTTGTTTTTTACAATTCGTTATATACAGTCAAGTTTTTATTCTTCGAATTCATTTCGTTTGGCCAAAGTTGATTATGGAGAAAAGGTTTATATTGACTGAGCACAGGGAAACTATCTGTTTTTTTAGCCTCCACCAGGCTTCAGAAGACATTTTGTGCAACATTTAAGTCTCTTTTCTAATACTGTATGCTTCTGGTATTTGTTAGAATACAACACTAGAAAAGAGAGTGGTGTAGGGTCCATATATTATTACTGAAGAGTACTAACTGTTTAGAAAAACAGCCGGATCCTTACATCTACTTAATTGTCATTACCTCGTCACTTCCATGATGTGGATAAGATAACCGATTATTAGAGCCACTAGAAGGCATAGACATCCAGTAGATAACTTCAATTGGACAGATTACATTGTATCGTTTATAAAATGTTCACAGTTGACGTTGACAAGTTTGAGCTAAAGCATTAAATGAGAATTGGAACAGTGGCGACAAAAAGGAACATTTGATTATAAATGTAATAGTAACATGCACTTGTTGAAACAAGTTATAGAAAGACGAACGGCCTGTCCGACTAGTAGAAGGTTTTTCCTCTCAAGATCGTGTTGGGCTGATCTCTGTCAACGGAAATTCGAGGTCGCGCACTTAATTAATCTCAATTAATCATCGTGTCGTCAGGTATGTGGATGTAGACATTATTATTGGCAAATAAACGACATTCAACGCCGGGTTCGAATTCTGCTATATATATAAACGAAGGCTAGCGTCAGTCGAGATTTTTTTTTAAAGGAGTGGTTCAATGCAAGGCCTATATACGACCACTTCTCGGCATTGAACTAGAAATATGAGAGAAACATGGCTATGTCAAGAGATGGCGATGAACGTTTGATTTGAAAGCCTGTAGATTGTAGGTTGGTGGGGAAACACTTGTCAGGGAGGGAATTCCAAAGCTTGGCCGTACGGGGAAAGAAACTGTCACCGTAAAAAGATTTCGAACAAGGAATTTGGACGGTGAAGTTGTGTGAGCTAGTGGAGAACCTAGTGGAACGCTTAAAGCCCCTATGTAGCTTAAACGGTTTTTGAAGGCTCGAAGGTCTGTAGGAATACCCGCGCCCCTGGCGGGAAGGTTTGTTTGTTCCCAGCCGTCCCACTCGGCTGGTGGTCCCGCGGTCTTTCGTAACTATAGTCGCCTGAAGGTCCCTTCAGATACCAGGCAGACTGCTACCTACTAGTATATACTCTCCAAGCAGAGGTTAGGTACCCTGTTTACCAAACCTAAGCCATGTATCACAAACATGATCTGTTCCCACATTTTCCATTGTACAAAAAAAAAAGCGAGAAGAAGTTGACCACTCTGTACTATTAGCTCAGTAACTAGAACACTTAACACTTGTACTATATGTTCCTTATGTATGTAACATATTGACAGACACTAATTCACATTAGCACACACAATAGTCATTTTTTCAATCAGTATTTCATACTTTGGGTATTTAAAACTGCAGAAATAAGTCCCAGATGATTCCCTTATATTTTGGGTGGTACCCTAAAATCAGCCCAGGGCCCTTGCAGTAACCATTTTCCGTCAGAATGTTGGCGTTGTTTCTTCCATGATTGAGGGTCAATATACATTGGGATGGTGTGGTTTGAACTCTACTTGGAGATTGACTGCTCTGCTACCTGTGTGCATGTTGGCGGTGGGAAGTATCACACCTGGCGACCCACACATTCTATTTCTTGTACCAGTTAACTATCCACGTTTCAACCGTTTGCCGACTGGAAGTTCATCTGTTACGGTAACTGAGATAATATAAACTTCCAAACGCCGGAAGTATGAAGTTCTCGTCATTTACCGTGTATGGTGTCATAGCACAAATTTGCATATTTAGACTCTGAAAGAACAAATGTCACATGTTCGACAGAAATAATAGACCAAGAGCCACCCAGCTCGGCTGTAGTTCTATAGACAGTCGCTAGGGGGCCAATAATCGAATTTGCCCTTCGTTTTGGCAGTAACATTATAATGTCCTTGGGTTTTGAGACACCTATCCACATGCTGTACATAAGGGAGAGGAGGAACAACGAAAACAGGACATATTGAAATATGAGTAATGATGCTGAGAGCCAACAAGTCATTTTACGGAGATCAAACCACTGGCAGATTTTCAAAAATGATATTCAGAGCGACAATTTTCGCATTTTTTGAGATCAAAACGTCCCACATGTTATTTTCCGTCGCAGGCAGGTTTGAAACGTCGCCAAATGAAATATGGGAGGGACCACTTCCCGAACATTCCCCTTCTTCACGGGTCTCACCACTCCCTGGCCTGAAGATTTCCACCTGTTTTCATTTGTGTTTTTGCAAAACTGAGACATAGTCAGACAGCACATCGGCAGAACCACGGTGGTAAGGCAGAACGTACAAAGCATTGTGCAATAACACTTCGGCATTAGCCTCTACCAGGCTTCGGTAGGCGGCTGAAAAGAGCAGAGCCAGATGCGGCAAATTTGTACTCTCTAGCGGCCCAGCTCCTCTGACATGTTATCTCTCTATCTACTCTTTCCAGCCGCCTCCCCAAGCCTGGTAGAGGCTACTTCGGCAGAACAATAACTTCTTGAGTTATTCTCTTCCAACGTCTCCAACCGAAATGAGTCCTGCAGTTTTGGCAAAAAGCTGCTAGGGGGAGCAATACCATTTATCTTTGAGACCAAGAACCAACTAATTTTTATCTGAGGTCCTGTGAGGAAATTATGAGGTGTTAAGTGCCTCTCCCAAAGTGTACAACACTACCGGGGACTGCCAGGGATTCAAACCCAGAACTTTCAGTTCCTGAGTCAACCACGACCCTAACCACAAGACCACCTTAGTTTAGATGTGACACTTTGCCACGCACGATGAGACAGACCAAGGCGCGCTCCGAGACTCTCCAGGCCCGCAGTTATCGTTCTGCGCCGTCATTTCTCACACTGCTGGGCGGGAACGTGGAAAACTCGGGACGCGATGTCGTCTGGAGCACATCCGTCTGTACCTTGAGACCGTAGCCTGGGTGCCAGACTGTTACTTCTCGGCTCCGAAAAGTTTTCCGTAGACACCCCTCAGATGTACTCTCCAAGCAGATCCTATGGTGGCAAAAGACAGTATCGGCCAGACAGTGTCCCAGTTGGCCAGAGAGGGTCTAACACGCCATCCAAGGATCTGCAGAAAGTCGCAAGCATCAATACATCATAAACCTAATCACTCGGAGTCTCCAACGCTCGGTTCCACGAGTACGTGCGATCTTGGGTGGCGTATTGAACCCTCTGTAGCCAATGGGTACTGCCTGGCCAATTTGATACTGTTTCTGCCACCCTAGGATCTGCTTGGGGATTAGTTCAGATGGTCCACTGAGCAATAGAGAGATAAATTAGACCTCAGGTGTTAACCTGGATCGGGGCTTGTGGCTTCCCCCACCCGAAGGTCTGGAGAATCAAGTCGAGCCGGGGTCTGGCATCCAGGCTATGAGACCATGAAGTTCACACCGCCCACCTGACACGACATATTGTCCGTCCTGCCAGTCCGAATACAGAAGCTCGTGTGATGTTTTTCACCGCCAAAGATAAGGCAGATCGCGTTTCCATGATGAGATAGCCTCCCGAGCCCGAGCGGACGTTCAATGACTCTTTCGGCCTCTCCAGAAGCAAAGGGAACAACTCGAATTTCGGGGCATAAATATGTCATTTCCACCACGGAAATAAGCGAGGAAATAGGCGTAAACTTTTTTTTATCGCGGAAATAAGCGTTAACTTTTTATCGCTTGTAAGTCCGAGAGAAAAGAAAATAGAGGCCTCTTTAATAGGTAATCTCCAAGCAGATCTTTTGGCGGCTGCAAGACAGTGTCCATTTACCACCTGAAGTTTGGCTGGAGGAAAAGAATTAGGCTCAAAAAGAGTCCTATAAAACTCCTAAAACGCGTCCAGGCCTAAAACTCTGCTTGGAGAGTGTCTTTTAGGATGTCACTGGGTATCAGCAAAATGCGTCTCTTCCTTTGACTGCTAGACCTACTTTAGCCGCCAGAGGGCGCCTTCACATTGACAAAAAAAAAAAAAAACATTTCGAGGATTGCTGGTTTTGCTCAAGCCCAGGCTGGGGGGGCGAGTAGCAAAATATCCCCAAGTTCAATTAATCGATTTATCAATCAGTCGGTTTAGTTGTTAATGGCTTTTGATAAAGACCAGGATCAGATTCTGTGGTTTTCTAAGGGGTACGTTAAAGACTGTAGCATCAAGTAAGGTCGCTAGCCGGCGCTCGTTTTGCACCGTTCCCTGCGTTGTCGAAAACCCCCATGCAGGCCCTCATACGTGACCAACCAAATCGTCAAAATTAATCTAATCAGAAGATATATGACCAATGGGAAAGGTGCATTTTTTGTGACCAACGGAGAGGCTCCAAAGTGCATTTTTCTGACCAATGAGCATGCCAGGATTCTGCTCAATCGACCAATCGCAGGCTAGATTATTTTGTCACAGGTGGTTGGAAGTTACAAAGCCGGGGCGTGGGGATGGTTGAGTCATTAGTCGATTTTGCAATGCTGCTATAGCGCGAAGAATCGACACGGCGGTCTGCAAGCCGAATTTGTGGGGGAAATGGCGGTGTCAAAACCGTCCATGGCATCACCACACCGACAAGAATTTGCCTGAATTTCGGCGGGCTCAAACATAACGTTAATATCACGGCGAGGAGACCCGCAATGTAAAGGTGAGACTGTCTATAATCGAAGTTCACCGGACGGAATCGGTTGTATGTAACGTGACCTTCAGCGGACAGTCATCAAGTGCTTGGTTTAGTAGCGTTTTCCTTTCTACGTACTTCTATGACCTACATGTAATACATTCTCTCTTCTTGCAACATACATGTAGGACTACACGTGAAGACATCCCAACTAGAGAAGACGCAAACAGAAGGACGGCCTGTATCAGAAATATGACAAGGTAATTGTACATTAATATTACTCTCCTCAGCGGTAGCTGTAGCCTGTGACGGTAGAATTCATTACAGAAAAATGTGACTCTGTAATTGACGGTTCCACGGTTGATTGCGTGTCTATTTAGTGTTTTAATCAGAAGCAAAATGTTCATCTGAATCTGTCTTGTTCTAATTATTGGTAATTTGACATCCATGTAGGATGAAGGATGTAGGATGCAAGAAGCAGGGGAGGAGACATCTCTCAGCATCTTCCAGGACCTTATCGTTGCCTTCAACTACACGTCTAATGGAAAGGGCTTTAAGGGATAGAAAAAGGCTAGTGATTTGTGATGTGCATTAAGTAGCTTTTAATTTTGGCACCAAACTTAGAATCCCCTCTGTGTATCTGAGGCATTGTCGACAGGGATAATTGCAGTTTCTTGATTGTTGGCAAAGTGGTTGAGTTTGCTTTGGTGACATCCTGAGTGACATTGCTGGTTGGGGGTTGCGGCATTTTGAGGGTTTTGGCTCCTTTTGCACGCATGGCTTTAGTCTGTTTCTGTGGGATACAGGTCCGATGTATGGTTGATTTGGTTTCTGTGACTATGCCGAGGGCTGGGATTGAGTTCGGAGTTGCTGCAGAGTTCAGTCCTCTAGAAAACGGAGACTTCCCTACGTTCTGTCAGCCCATGATTATTCAGGTATCTTGTACTGCCTGACTTTCTTTCTGCATTACGTGATTGTCAGTGGGTCGGGAACCCTGACCATTACATAAGCTGCCTTGTGTTAGAAATAATAGGGGTGGGGGAGAGAAGAATCATCTGGCTTGGGTATCCGTTAGTCTTGAGATCCCGAACCGAGACTACGGCACATGGCCAGAAGGGAAGACAGGAAGATGAAGTGCCTAAGTGATCATGAGCTAACAGAACTGGGGAAGTCACTGTTTTCTGGTGGGCTGAACTTTGTAGTTACCTCTGAGCGCCATTCCGGTCGTCAGCGTGGGTACAGAAGCTGATCAGGCCAAGCGTTGGACCTGGTTGCCACAGGAACGGGTTGAAGCACTGTGTGCAGAAGTAACCATTGCTCTCAAGGTGTCCTAATCCCTTGCCAGTGCCATCACATAGGCTGTTGTCAACATTCTCATTACACCTTGCCGACAACCAAGTGATTGTGATTCTCCCTGCCGGTGATGCCTCGGGTAGACAGAGGGGATTGTTACCTATTAAAGCTTGGACTGAAGCTACATCACAGATCAGTAACGTCCTGCCATCGCCCCATCAGCAGCATTCCTCTGGAGGAAAAACAAGGTCAAGTCTGTAAATGAAGTTCTTGTTAAAGATCTTCAAAGAATGCAATGTATCATTTGACAACCATTATGTATGATGATAGACAAGTGTTGCTCAGGTTACTATATGTTCATGTTAAGTCTTTTGCCATCTTCCTGGATGAAGCTAAGTTTTTGTTATGGGGTTGTTTATGGAAATATTATAGTTGCCTGCTATTTAGCTACATTCCTCCTACTTACCAGCTGTGAGATGTCAAAGGCATGTTTTTATTTCTTGAAATGTCCCTTTGAATACTAGTAGCCAAGATTTCCTAACTTGTAAATGTCCTTTTTTAGGATTATGTTGTAGCTGTCTAGTTTTAAGATAACCTTTTAAGATCAGTGCAGTTTATGCCAAAAAAGTTATTCAAGCAACTGGATATGATTTTGGAAACGGTCAATTGTTTCAGGTAGCATACACTTGCACTACTTTCGTCAGTGGCACTAGAGACTGCAGGAGAAATGCAGATTTATCATATCCAGTTGCTTGTGTAACTGTTTTTCGGCGTATCTTTATTACCCGAATGTCTAACCTTGACCAACGTAACTGCAACTTAGTTTAAGAATAGTTGTAGTCTAGTTGTAGTCTAGTTGTAGTCTAGTTGTACCCTAGTGTTGAGAATAGTTGTAGTGCAGTGCCGAGAATAGTTGTAGTCCAGTGTTAAGAATAGTTGTAGGTTAGTTGTAGCCTAGTGTTGTAGTCTAGTGTTAAGGTTAGTTGTAGTCTAAAGCTTTAATTAAAGTCTTTTGTTCCCACTTAGCCTTTATTTTTAGTGTATTTTGCCTCTATTCTAGTACAAGTAGTGGCCACCTTGTCCTAGAATGGATCCAAAATATATTAATACATTGGTTTTGAGAGCAAAGGTCTTTACATAAAGTAGGCTGCTGTAGGGTAGTTATAATCAGGTTAGGTTTAAGGTCTTAGGCATTGTTGTGAGTTTTTGAAACTTAGCTTTCAAAATGTCACTCAACCTGAGCAACACACTGTACACTTAATAAACAGTCATGTGGTCTTTTTTTAGTTTGTTTTAGAAGAATAAAATTATTAAAACTAAAGTCCCATCCTTGGTCCCATGTAGTACTAGTATTCATGTCCCCATGTAGTGCTCACCACCCCCCACCCCCCACGCAGTGGTTCCCGAAACACCCATTAATTTATTGTCAGTATTAGTGTTCTCATAAACCCCCTGTAGGTCTTTCTGTCATTGAACCTCATTAAAGCGCCACCTAATGAAGAGTGAAGGTACTTCAACCAAGTAGGTACACATGGACAAGTCAACTTGCACCCAACATGTGCATAATGGATACATTGAGAGCAAGAGTGAAACTAGACATTGGGTTCAGGCCTTTCGTCAGGTTTCTTAAAATTTAAAGATATTTGTACCCTAAACATTACGGGTAAGGGTACAAAGTTTTGTTGGGCATGTGTGGAAACCATAGAAGTACAAAAATTGACGGCAAACGTCCAAGAGGACGTCCTAAAGTTACTCACCAACGATCAATCCATAATGATGGGAAGAAGCTTGGATCAAATTCATTTGAGGAAATGGCAGTAGCGGCTCAAAACTGCATCCTTTGGAGAGAGAAACTCCCCCGACATGTTGACTCAGCTTCTGTATAATAGAGCCGTTGTAACTGCCCTTTGGTGTAACACACCAGCTTTACAATACCATATGTACATATCCCAATAACATATAAAAGAATGTTGATGTTCTACATGTGCAGATGTCTACTTTTTGATGTCCTTGCAACTGTATCCTTCCTATACACACAGGTCAGAGGCAATGCCAACACATGAGACCCTTAATTAACATCACAACTGTTTGACTCCTTTGATTTTCAACTTTTAATGTCAGCCTTGGTAACGGGATGCATGTTGCAGTTAACAGCCATATATTTTTTTTAATTATGTAAATGTTGATATGCTTTTAGTCTACATATCTGTAAAATTCCAACGCAATTCAGTTCTGTCTGAAGAAATTCTGCACGTCTGCAAAGTTGATTTTAGATAAAGATTTGATTTCATATAACACTCTGATGGTGTCTTACAAATAAATATAACTTATAAAAAGAAATGACAACTAGCCATGTGCATCCAACCACACAGTCAGCTTCCTTTTACATTGGATCCGCTGTAAGGTAGGTGTTTTAGCTGAATGTCTATGTTCAGTGCAGCAGAGAGTTCTTCCTGTAGCAGACTGTGCAGGGAGTTGTTGTCATGTCGGTACACCCAGCCGCATCTCTCATCAAAGTAGTCGTAACGTTTGGGGCCACTGCAACAGGAAGACAGCAACAACAGGTAAAACTTCTAAACTGGTTATAGTATTCATGTATTAAACAAACTTACAAATGATACCACAGAGGGCACACAGTCAATATACTAGTATGTTTCAAACAATGAATTTTCAACCCTTAATGCCTATTGAATTTGCTTATGATTAAAGCAAATGGGAAGACATGGCCTTTTTTCAACTGTTGGCCTAACAATAAGTGTGGCCTAACATTAGTTACTGATATAGTTACTTACTTTAACTATAAGTAGTGGATTCTACCTGAAATGTTTGACATTTTTCATAACCTATCCAGTTGCTCGTATTGTAACTGTAACTGTTTTCTTGTGTTCAACCTGAAGCAGTTGGCTTTTGGTTTCCAAAGGTAGTTTTGCCATGTTGTGCACACCCATTATCCAACTCAAGACCTTTTCCCAGCACCAAAAGTTGTACCTACCTGGTAGGAGAGGACAGCCAGATCTGTTTGTTGGGTGTTTGCTTGTTGATGACGTATGTTCCTAAATTTCCACCCAGTCTGAGAGTCAGCACATCTGACTGTTGGAGAACAACATTATTTTCTGGATTGAGTATAGGTCACAGTAAAGGAATACCTTATATAACACATGATCAAGCTAAAACTCACTTTTTTGCACTGGTATTTCCCCAGAACTATTGTGGAACTCGTTGCCACCAAGGACAGTTGGGGCATCATCACTAGAAAGCTTTAATGAAAGCTTTGAATGTGCAAAGATTGAGTGTAACAAGTCGTTCGGTGTGATATAGCAAGCTCCCGCCGCTCCGCGTGCCTGCAAAGCTGGTGTGTTACACTGAAGGGCGGTTATACCGGCTATACCGATACAAATAACACTATTATAGTAATTAAGTAATTTTCTCCTTGCTTCCCTTTGATGGTGTAAAAAAGAAGAACAGACATGTTTCAGGTTTTGTGACGGCAGTCCTATGCTATTGAATTGTCCATCCATCCACCCATCCATCCACCCATCCATCCATCCATCCATCGATAGCTTGTCAGTCTATACGTCATCAGATTGATGATAACTCCAATTCCAGCAAGAATACAAGCTGTGGAGAGGAGGCACTTACAGAGAACTGTACATCGTACTCAGGTGGGCAGCAGTCCTGATCTCCCAGGTCCTCCAGATACTCCGCCAGACCATCCAGGGTGTCATCAGCAATGCGATGGTACTCATTCAGAGCTATCTCGCTGTGAAGGATTGCAATGAATCATTATTACGTTAACACATTATCAAATACACTACTAGTACATGTTACATTGACAACAGGGCTCAAAATACATGTACTTTTTTTCTCTATACCTAGTACTACTGGTGTGGGTAAAATCGAAAATTACCTGCACCAGACAAATGTTACCTGCACCACTCAGACTTTAGGAAGAATGGGTCACACTAAAAACTGTTCAGAAACCATTGCCATTTATACTTCATTGGTGGTAGCAGTCACTCTATCCCCTTGGCCAGTAAATAATTTAAAAAAGGTATTTGTATCGATTTTAAATGTCAGTTTGAACAGATAAAATGCTCACCTGTTACTTTGTTGATTACTGCACATCCTGACATCACTTGTGGTTCTAATGGTTGCATGTTGTTGTAAAAATTGACAGTCTTTCACTACCTGTAAAATATCAAACAGATTTTATTTCAGTTTTCATTTATCTAAAATGTATAAAGCAAAAGTCATCATTGACCACACATTGAAGGATGATAATACAGGATCTAGACCAGAAATGTCTGTAACGTTAGATGTATAGTGATATAGTAATCTGTCAATAGTGAAAAGAAGAGCAGTGCTATTGTTGCAGTCTTTGTGTCAATGATACTTCAGCCCATTCTGTCCTGATGTCCGAAACAATATCCTCAACCCCCTATCCTACCTACTTCAACTCCCTATGTCAAAGTGTCCAGTCATTAACCTCCCTCCTCACTTTTTAACAGACATAATTCGCTAGCCTTGGTGCTGACAGTCTTTCTTGTCTTGGTAAGTTGCAATTGGTTTCTGTCCCACAACTGTTATTACTTGATGAAATGTTGTATGCTCGAGGCGTGGTTTTCACTAACTATCAGCCCTTAGTTTATCTTATAGAGCTTCATGGTTAGGCTACATACATGTACTGGTGTAACGTTCGTTCCTGCTAGCTTCCGATGTCATTATGCCCCCCTCCCCCCAAACACACGAAACGACAAACGTAACCATGTTTCCAACCATCGGGAGTCTGTAAACCTGTCTCACTCGACAGGAACGCCGCATGACGTGACGTATCACCGTGCCAGGAAGTCTTGACAGAGCAGACATGCCTCCTACACAGACGATATTTTCATTCGCAAAGTAAAGAACTTTTGCGTTACAGCGCACGACAATCGTCAACTCTGACCCCTTGGAACAAACCATTGGACGCAGAGGGTTAAAAGGGGACAAACCATTTGACGCAGAGGGATGAAGGGGGAACAGAGCCCATTTTAATACAGAAGGGTTATACAAATGACTTTCTTGCGCAACAATTGTATCTGTTGATAAGAAACAGCAAAACTTAGAAACCTTTATTACGAACGGGTGACGTCACAATGTAGTCTTGGTTAGAACATTCTGTGACAAATGTCTCTTGGCTTGACAAATGTACTAACTTTAATACTAACGTTATATTAGTACTAATGTTACCGCTAACGTTACCTGACTTCAGAAGATTGAAAAGAGCAGAAATTGGCCAGATAACATGCCAGGGAAGTTCGTCCGCGAGTGAAAGAGTAACTTTACAGTTTGTCGGTCCTTTCGGCTAGTGACAATGGCCTATATTGTGGGACAGGGATTCCTCAAACCGGCATCTTAAGTTGTGGCACTAACAAAATATGTACAAAGAGAAAGAGCAATTTTCCTGGATAGACGGGTTGTATTCTCGGTCGCATTTCCGTTGGGGTGATGCATGTTCTCTCAAGGTATCTAGATTTTAGATACCTTGGCTCCATGATGGCCTCTAGCAGTAACGACCTTAAGAAACGCAGAGCTTTGGCATGGGTTGCTTTCTGGAAACTAGAGCATCTCTGGAGGAGTGAGTGCATCCAAACTGCCACTAAAGTAAAGCTCTTTAAAGCCTCATGCTATGTGTATCAGTGTTGTCCTATGGTTGTGAGTCTTGGGTAATCACGAAGGACATGGAGAACAAAATCAACTCTTTTGCTACTTCGTGTTACCGTATTATGCTGAACATCAAAAGGCGTGACCGGGTAACAAACGACAGCATTTACAACTTGACCCAAACTAGTCCGCTGATTCAGCATGTGCGTCTGAGACAGCTGAACTTTCTGGGACACATCCTGCGCATGCCTGAGGATGAACCTGTTAGACTGTACGCCCTCTACGAGCCCTCTCATGGCAGACGCAGGCGAGGCCGACAGCCTACCTCCTACTTCAAGTATGTCCAGCGACTACTGGGAGATGAGCACAACCAACTAACAGAGAAGCAGATCGTCAACCTTGCTAGCGACAAGGGGCAGTGGAGGGACCTTGCAGTCGCCTGCGCAGCAGCCGACCGATGATGATGATGCATGTTACACAATTAACGGTCCTCTTCCCGACCGCTGGCATTTGCCACACACTCAAAAAGGCAATAAGGCTAACTTCACATATCACATACATTGTTTAACAATACAGACTATTACTACTAAGACAAAGTCCACCCAATCTGGTAACGTTACACAGTACAATACATTCCATGAATTATTGTCATGTCCAACTACCATATCTGCTTACGTAGGCCAATTTCTGTACACTTTATTCCATAAGCGAGACCGTATCATCAATACATGACCATACTGTAACTCATGTACTGTTTAGATATGTAGTAGTTTGTAGTAAGTAAGGTAATAAGATAGTTTAGTTTTGTAGTATTGTTGTATTACTGCCACACATTGACATTGTACCATGTACGATTGTCGAGCAATAGAGTTCATTCATATCACAAGACAGAACTCCCCTTCCCGACCGCTGGCATTTGACACAGTCAAAAAGGCTAACTTCACATATCACAAGACAGAACTCGTGTTATATAAAGACGTCATAAACAGATGAACGAGCCTGTCTTATGACTTAAGAAGTGGAACATTTGCACCTTGAAATACGTCACAAGCAGATACAGGCCGCGAATCTACACGGCTATGACTAACAAGTGGTCTGAAGATTTCTCTATGACGTCAAAAACGCGGCGTCTTACGCCACTCGAATCCTCCTGTGTCTTTTCTTCGCCTTTTGCAGGTGAATCAGGTGGGTGTGACTCGTGCCTTTAATATCGGAAATGCTAGGGGGGTTAACTCGAATTGTGACTGCCATGTTGAGATCGGATGTAGCTAAAAGACTGTCGTAACACGAATGACCTGAATCCTTACTCTCCAAACAGAGGTTGTGGGGGAATGATCGTTACATTTTTATATATGGCCGTTTTTTTTGTCCTGACCCCCGTCGGTGGCCGCGGACCTTCTCTGGCTAATGGATACTGTCTGGCCAATTTGATTCTGTCTTTTGCCACCGAGAGGGATCTACTTGGAGATTACCGAATCCTTTGATCCAAGGACTTATGTAAGAGGACAAATTTACTCTCCAAGCAGAGGTTGATGGTGGAAGATCGTTTGCTTTTTATATATGGCCTTTTTTTGATGCTACCTACCATCACCAACCTCTGCCTGCACTCGCACAGGGAGGAGCACTTCATTTCAAAAATGGTGTTGCTGCCCCTCCTCGTGCTCCTATTAACAGCTATCAAAAATCTGCCCTGCTAAATATTTTTACAAGCGGTTTATAGCTTGAATCTGGGACAAATGCAGTCACCCACGCACATCTCAGTGGGAGTTGGGTGGGGAAATGGTTTATACAGACTGGCCAATTTGATACTGTCTTACTCCCACCAAAAGATCTGCTTGGAGATTAGTCAAATTGAGATAGTCGGCTTGTAGATCACTGTTGTCGGGGATTAGATCACTGTTTTTTGCCGCTCAGTAAAGAGCGTCTTGCTATGCCGCGGTAAGGAATTCTATTCACTTTTTTTTTTTATCAACCAGATGGCTGCTGCTCTCCAAGCCAACTAGCTCCTCTGGCCGATTGAATACCATTTTAGGCAGAGGAGTCTGGTGGAGACTAGTGAGCTGTATCGGACGAATTCTTGCGTTTTCCCCTATATAATTAAGGGACTTAAGTTGTCGTTAATAATTCTTGCATAACGTTAGACATCTAACATATGTTGTGTCGTGGTACTCTCCAAGCAAAGGTTTGGGTTCTGGCTTATTTTTGGCATTTTTTATGCTGCTTTTTTTATCGGGCTTTCTTTTTTGCACTGGTATCTTTTTTTACGCCAACCCAACAAAAAACAAGAGAGTAGTGTCGAGGGAGTGGGGGTGTTTTATGTTGATGCATGTATTCCTGTCATCAGTTTGGCACGAACCGTTAGCTGTTTTCCGATCCGGAGCTTAGTGCTTATTCATCTTTTTCTTCTTCCCAGTACGTGCAAACCTCTATTGGTTGAGGGCTCCAGCACGGTGGGGGTGGGGATATTGGATGGGGTGGTCGCTCGTACAAGTTTTCTGTTTGTATGTTGTGGTCTGCAGCTCCTCAATGGGCAGGGGCGCCACTCCCTGTCCGCCACCGAAAGCAGGGTGGCGGTGAGTACCCGTAACTGTTGTTACATGATGCTAATGGCCTACTTGAAGGCCTGTAATGTCTTGACTTTAACAATATTTTCTGGTAGATAGTTCCACTCCCTAACTGTTGTAGAGAAAAAGGAGTTCAGATGGTAATCAACTCGTGAAGCTGGTGGGTAAAAGGCTAAACTGTTTTCGGTGCAACATTCCTCCTAACGCGCCTAATAACCCGGGTAAACGCGTCGTGAGAGCGCCAGGCTTACTGCGCACGTTCAGAGGTGCCGAACAGGAAGCGCCTCAGCTCACAACCACCGGTCATTGACCTCACGATTCCGGAACGCATCACGGTTCACTTACCGTCCGTTAACCCCACAGCCTTGTAGTAGCCTCCTTTGCAGACATTCCGTTAGCCTGACTGAACCCGCTTTCGAACCTCGCTTTTCGCCGGTTCCCTTGTGCACCAGACTAACTAGGGACAAAAAGCTTGGGTTTTACAGGCTAACGTTCCGTGATGGCTGGGTTTTTTTTGGAGGGGGCGATTTTCTGATGAAACGTAGATCGCACGCAATAGAAGCTCCGGCCGCCAACCCCACATAGCTATCCCTGGAACAGGGTTG